CATTGTCTTTATAAGCTGTGTTATGCCAGTTGAGCTAGATGTACCCCGAGACCATGGTCCCTACAGCCCTCCGCCCAGCAATTCAGTCCCTCAGGGAGTTTGGATGTGTATATGGGGCTTCCATGACCTAGGAAAGGCAGTTTTAAGGAATCTGCTAAACGAACTTATAATACCAAGGGATACCAAAGCTTTCCTATTCTAAAAGTTGTTATTTCCTATGGCATTAGGAAGTCAGAGAATTTGTATGCGCTTTATAATTAATATTGAGATACGAGAAATTGTGAGCAAGCCTACGCCATTGGAATATTGGCTGTTTCCCATTGTTTGTTTAAATATTTTCACCTATGTATTCTCATCTTAAATTTTCTATTTTTCATTTGCCTTTTAATTTTTTTTAAGGTTAAAATTCCATACTGAATTTAGATTTGAGAAAATAAGAGAATCTTTTCCTATTTTCCCCACATCTTTTATAGCATCTGTCAACGGTTCGCCATCTGCCACTTCAGAAAGTGACGGATCTAGTACAGGCTCTCTGCCACCAACAAATACAAATGCAAATACATCTGAAGGCGCTACATCTGGATTAATAATTCCTCTTACTATATCTGGAGGTGCAGGCCCTAGGCCCTTAAATCCTGTCGCTCAAGCTCCCCTACCACCTGGGTGAGTAACTTTTCGGTTTACTTTTTTTTTTTAAATTGGGCTCTGCATATTCTTATTAGTAAGGAAAATGATACTGAACTCCAGTCTTTAATAAATTGTAACTGATTTTTGGGAGTCTGGAGTCAAACTGAACAAAGAATGCTCACCACCTCTGAAATTTCTCACTTTGTTTCCAGGGCAAAGTAGAAGCCTTTTTTTTTTCTTTTTTGAAAAAAAGACCTTGAACCATAGACAAGACTAAGGAATAAAATAGTGACCTAATTCAGGTTGCTTTTTCTTTGGGGGAGAAAAATTACTTTTTAAAATACAAAAATTTTTCCATCATAAAGTGGTTATAGCAAAGTAATAAATAATTTTGGGAAACTGAGAAAATTAGTACTCAATCTCATTTTAATCTCTACTGTTATTTTTTAAATTGATAAAACTCTTAAGTATAATAACCTATATATGTATATACATTGTAGCATTCATCTATTAAGCTATAGCCCAGAGTGCGAATCAGAATTAATTGACTGGCTGATAAATTAATAAACTCTCATGTGATGAGAATTTTAATTGTTTAACAGATTGTATTACTTGTGTTGGCATTTAGGCCATTTTCCTTTTGGAAAGCCTACATGAGAAGCCAAATTAGAAGGTTATTTGTGCAAGGGATTAGCAAAGAGAAAGTGGATGTTCTTAGAAGTGATTGGTACTGCCAAGCATGATGGTTGACTCCCTATGTTCTTCACTTTGAGAATAAACCTACGAAGGAGATTAGAATATTCATATTGGTCTATGCTCTAACTTTTTCCCTTGGACTGTTCCAGAGACAGATCTGATAAAGTCTTATTCTTTGATTTTAGTTTTTCTAGAATGCAGACAGACCATTGTCCTTCGGTTAGCTCAGGCTTTCCTTCAGGTTTCATAACATTAAGTTACAGCTTTCTTTTTTACTCAACCCTGCGTATACCCTGATCAGATTGAGAGAGACTTTGGTTTCCTGAGTAGACTGACTTCACGCCTCTTTAGAAACACAAGGAGTCTCCCAGAACAGATACTTCTGGAAAAGAAATCTCATCTACTATATGTTGCCCTCGGAAGATGACATTTTTTACTTTATTCCTAAATTCTAATGTTATCTTCCTTATATATCCCCATGCTTATTTACGTTGGTTCTATCATATGGCCATTTAAGGAAAAAAGACAAAGACAGGATTAACCAGGCTATTCACACGAGTACCATACCAGCCTTTTAAATTTTGTGTTTAAGTTGGGAGCAGAGAGTGGACCAGCATGGGCGAGTCTACTATGTAGATCATGTTGAAAAACGAACAACATGGGATAGACCAGAACCTCTACCTCCGGGGTAAGTACCTGAATTAAAGAAAAAAATTAGTGTTTATTCAGAACTATGCATTATATCTTTATAAAATCATCCCTATGCTCCTCCTTTTCTATTCTTATTAGTCTTTTCTCTACCCGCTTTGGTTTGTAGTGGTACAGACTAGAAAGGAGAGAGCCAGAAACTTGAGTGAGCATGATGAATAATTTTTATTTTCACTCATTTCTGACCTAAAGATTCCTTAGGTCTTGCTACTTCCAAGTTTTCCTGTCTGAACTGTTTACCTGGCTCAGAGCCACAGAGTTTTAGGATTAGTTTCTTTAAGAGTAATTATTTAACAGAATAAAAATTATAGCCCTTATTATATATATGAGAAAAAAATCCCTACTGTATAAAAGAACTTAAAATGTAATAGGGAAGTCATTGCAAAATAGTTAAGGAAATTAAGGATATTATTGTATTAGTTATATATGGTGTTAACATATAAAATGATTAGAAGATAAATATTTTTTAATCCAAAAGGAAGACAGTAACAAACATTTAAAAGAAAAACAAACACATTGCCATTGAGTTGATTCCGACTCATAGCAACCCTATAGGTCAGAGTAGAACTGCGCCATAGTGTTTCCAAGGCAATAATCTTTAGGGAAGCAGGCCGCCACATCTTCTTCACAAGGAGTGGCTGGTGAGTTTGAACCACCAATGTTTTGATTAGCAGCTGAGTACTTAACCACTGCACCACTAGGGCCCCTTACAACTCTCATAAGGGTGGGGGATAGGGGTGT